TAGCAGGGATTATATGCAAAATGTTACAATGTGTATAGACATCCCCACCCCCTTCTGAAGAGTCCACACTTCTTATTAGTTTCTCACAGAGGGCATTGGCAACATTTTAAGACAGTGGCCAGGACTGGCTGTGTTTAGATTTGGAATTGGTGTCAGGAGTTTGTGGTTTTAATCTGCTTAGCTTCCTTGGCTCTTTTTCTTGTGTTAGCCTCCATTTAGGAGGGTCTCAGTCTTTCTCACTGCTGTTGAAGAATCTTCTCTTTTCATCTGGCTGCTAAATCTGGAGAATGCAATCTAGAAGATGTTTTCATGGATCGCCACCCTACCCCCCTCTATGAAGGACGCCCAGTTGCCCAGTTGTCCATCTGGGATGGGAGCAGGAAGAGAAAGGAACCGATAGGATCCAGGTCCAGATTCCTGAGACCCAGTTTTCCTCCCTCCTTTCCTTTGCTCTCTTCCAGCCTCTTCTTCTTCTCCCATCTGTGCTATGGGAGTGGAAAATTTAGCCAGGCAAAGGTTGGGATGGAACAGTCCAAGGATCAGAAAGTGAGTTAAAGGCACAGGTATGGAAAACAGCATGGTTTGGGAGGTCTGGTTCCTGGACTGCTAAGAGGGGATCAGCTCCGTGGCTAATAGGATCCACCACAGCGAATCTCCCAACATGGCACGCACTGCACGAAGGGCTGAAGCGCTGGGGTGGATCGAGGTCAAGATTAGAGACTCAGGAGCGGAAAGAGGGAGGCTTAAGGAGCCAAGCTGAGCATTCAGGACTGGGTGATGGGCGCGGTTCTGTCAAGCAGCAGAATGAAGACTTAGTCCCATCCCCCACTGATGGTGGAGGACTGGCCCAGCCGCTCTCCTTCCCCCCTCCCCCCATATCCTCCTTCCCCCCGTACCTTGGCGACCCAGGGCTAAGACCATCTCGAATCACCGATGACTTGTTCAGGCACTAAGGGTCTGAGCCCGAGATCAGTCGGGAAGGTTGGGGAGAGGACTAGAGAAAGATGACTTCCCTAAATCTGTGTGCTTCCTCCTTTCCTCCCCCTTTTGGCCCCTCTTGGTAGCACCTTCTTGATCCCCTTATCTCTAAGGCGCTCAGGGAAATGCCCCCGTGCAGAAGCCGTCTGGGAAACGCTTCTCTGACTGCCTGGGAACCATGAGCCCTGCAACTCCGGTAAGGAAAGTTTTCTTGAATATGAGGGCCAGGGGTGGGGTGGGCCCTTCTAAATAGAGGATGGACCAGGCGCCTTTCAGACCCTGGCAATCCCTGATCTCTGGAAGGTATGCCTTGTCTGCTCCTATCTGGGGATTTGAAGTCGGGCAATTCAAGGAAATGATCCTGGATGGGGCAGACCTAGACAGACCTAGGAGACAAAGAAACACTCTTCTTCCCCACTTGGGAGCTGGGCCCCTCTAACCCTCCAATCTTTTTTGTTCTCTTCCTATTTTTTGAATTGGGATCAGCCCTGGCTGATCTTAAACTTGTGAGCTCAAACCATCCTTCTGTCCTAGTCTTCATAATAGGTGGAACTACAGACATGTGCAACCATTCTCGGATTTCTAATCCATTTTTGACTGTGCTCTAGATGAACTTTTCCCAAATGCAACCCATTTATCATACCGCCTAAACCCTTGAAACGCTTTCCCAAGCTGCAGTTACTACTGTGCCATAATATCCAAGCTCTTAGCCTGTCATGTAAGGCCTTTATGTTATAATCTAGCAAACTCTGCAGCTTTATCATCTGCTGCTCTCCATGCTCCCCCACACTGTCTTCTATTTTCTAAAAATAATGCACAATTGAACTTTTTTTTTGGGGGGGAGGTGAGGGTACTGGGGATCGAACCCAGGGGTATTTAACCACTGAGACACATCCCTATCCCTTTTTATTTTTTGAGACAGGGTCTTGCTAAGTTCTTAGAGCCTTGACTAAATGGCTGAGGCTGACTTTGAACTTGTAATCCTACTGCCTCAGCCTCCTGAGTTGCTGGGATGACAGGTGTGTGCCACAGTGCCTGGCCACCCTTGAACTTTTTGACCAGAGCTCATATGAACTCTTGTTTAGCCTGTAAAGCTACTACCCATCCACTGAGACCTTTCAACCTCCACTGGGATGCCTTCCCCAATCTCTTGGTCAAAGACTGACTCTTCTTTCTCCTTGTTAAATCACATTCTTTGCTTTAACTGTGTGTTTACACTTAGTCTCCCCAGGAGACAATAAACTAGGAGTGGAGGGCAAGGGCATGTCAGAGGCTGCCCTGGAGCCCAGTGCTGTACTTCCTAAAAACCAAGCTTCAAAAAACCATGCAAGCCAGGCCGTGGCAAATGTCTGTAATTCCAGTGGCTCTGGAGGCTAAGGCAGGAGGATCACAGCCAGCGTCAGCAACTTAGTGAGGCCCTAAGCAATTCAGCAAGACCCAGTCTCAGAATAAAAAATAAAAAGGGTTGAGGTTATGGCTCAGTGGTTAATCATTCCTGGATTCAATCCCCAGAACCAAAAACAAAAACAAACAAACAAACAAAAACCATGCAAAACTGGAGTCTGGTTTCTCCTGGAAACTTTACTTTTTTTTTTTTTTTTTTTAAGAAAATTAGTTTACAGATTTTTAAAAATTGATTTTTAAAAAGTATACTTAAAAACTCAGCTCTTTATGTGGGCTATGGTGAAGGTGATGGGGCAGCACCTGCAGGTCTAAATTAGGGTGGGGTGTTCAACCCTGTGAGACTAGGGAAGTCAATTCCTGCCTCCCTCCCTTGCTGTGAATGGCACATTCATGCAGTGATGGAGCTTCACAGGAAGCTTGGGAAGCCACAGGTGCCAAAGACTGGCTTCTGGAATGACTCTGACAAGTGAGGCTACAGCTTCTGCAATGTTTCTTTCTTTCTTTTCTTTTTCTTTCTTCCTTTCTTTTATATATGTTTAGTTGTAGATGGACACAATACTTTTATTTTATTTATTTTTATGTGGTGCTGAGGATCAAACCCAGTGCCTCAGGTGGGCGAGGCAAGGGCTCTACCACTAGCCACAGCCCCAGCCCTCTGCAATGTTTCTAATAACATTTCTTTTTCTTTCTTCTTTCTTTCTTTCCTTCCTTCCTTCCTTCTTTCCTGTCTGGGAACTCCTAGGCTCATGTGGTTCTCCGGCCTCAGACTCCTAAATTGTTGGGATTATATAGGTGCACACCACTGCAGGTCTTGCTCTGTGGAATTTTATTTATTTATTTATTTATTTGTTTGTTTGTTTATTTATTTATTTATTTTGTACCGGGGATTGAATACAGGGGCGCTTAACCACTGAGCCACACCCTAGCCCTTGTTTCTATTTTATTTAGAGACAGGGTCTGGCTAAATTGCTGAGCCTGGCTTTGAACTCGTGATCCTCCTGCTTCAGCTTCCGGAGCTGCTAGGATTATAGGCGTGCACCAAGGCGCCTGGCCTCTGCAGAACTTTTTAATGGCCTTGTCCTTGGGTGCTCACAGGATACAATTGGCACAGCCATCCTTTTTAATAGCCTTGTACTCACACATCCGGTGTTCATGCACAGAATTGTGTCTGTGTGTGATGATGGGGACGGGATTGGGGATTGAATGAACCCAGGCCTCCCTCGTGGTAACAAGCACTGAGCACTTCCCAGCTCCTTTTGTTTTATTTTGGGAAAGTGTCACTAAGTCGTCCAGGCTGGCCTTGTATTTTCCATCCATCCTGCCTCAGCTTCCCGAATCGCTGGGATTACAGGAGTGCGCCAGGAACCCAGCTGGAGTCAAATTCTTTTTTAAATTTTTTTTTATTTTATTATTATTTTTTAAAATTTTAGTTGTAGTTGGACACAATACCTTTATTTTTATTTATTTACTTTTATGTGGTGCTGAGGGTCAAACCTAGAGCCTCCCACGTGCCAGGCGAGCGCTCTACTGTTGAGCCACAACCCCCCAGCCCCGAGCCCAATTCTTAAGAAAAATTATTTTAGCTGGGCATAGTTGTGTTGCACACACCTGTAATCCCAGCGACTCGGGAGGCTAAGACAGGAGGATCACAAGTTTGAGGCCAGCCTCAGCAACTTTGTGATATCGTGTCTCAAAATAAAAAAGGGCCGAGGATGTAGCTCATTTGTAGAGTTCTCCTAGCTCCTGGATTTAATCCCCAGTACAAAAAAAAAAAAAAAAAAGGAGGGGGGATATTTGTTGTAAAGGCTGAGGTTACAACTCAGTGGCACAGCGCGTGCCTAGCATGTTGCGTGCCCTGGGTTCGATCCCCAGCACTGAAGAAAATATACACAATTAATGAGTGAGCAAACGTTTTAGTAAAATAAACTGGACGCGTTGGCGCACACCTAGCTACTTGGGAGGTTGAGGTAAGGGAATTATTGGCGACCAGACTGGGCCACAGAGCGCCACCCTTTCTTTAAAAAAAGAAAAAAAAAATTATGTTTTGTTTTTTTTTAAATAAGCATCTTAGAATTTAGTCAACTTATTGAGCAAATTTGTTTAGGTGAAAACTGTGTAGGCTTCATTAGTCAAAAAGTTTTGGGGCTGGGGATGTGGCTCAAGTGGTAGCGCGCTAGCCTGGCATGCGTGCGGCCCAGGTTCGATCCTCAGCACCACACACAAAGATGTTGTGTCTGCCAAGAACTAAAAAAAATAAATATTAAAAATTCTGTCTCTCTCTAAAAAAAAAAAAAAAAAGTTTTGTAGTTGGGTTTTTAATTTTGGCATGTAATAGATGCTCCTTTACTGAGAAAAAAATTGTTTTATACATTGAGCTAATTGCTTCATTTAGGGAATAAAAAATTTGAGAAGAAATGTCAGTTCTAAAAAAAAAAAAAAAAAAAAAAGACCCGCCGGGTCAGTAAAGGACTACCACTCATGTGAGCATCTCCTGCCCTTCTGCAGGGTTGCAAACTACAAGTCCCAGCATGCTTCGGTCATCACCTCTTCGCGCCACGCCCCCTCCCTGGGGGTGGGGCGGGTCTGCAGGGCGGGGCCCCGGGGCCTCTAGGCCCGGGGCGAAGCCTGGCAGTGAAATGCCCCAGGCTCTCTGAGGCGCACAAAGCGCAGGCGCAGCGGGTTGGGTGGCAGCTGCATCGAGTAGCGCTGGTTTTGGCAGCAGCATCCACAACAGGTGTAGACAGGTGGGTGCATCAAGGGGGGCTGGAGAGGGAGTTCGCACCTGGCCTCTTGATCTATGTCAGCTTGGAGGGGTGGGAGCGTATGAGAAAAAGAGACCTGGCCAGGTCTTCCACCCCAGGTGTGCCAGCCCTTGTTACGCAGAAACAGGTGTGAGCAGGTGGGGGCGGGGTAGACACACCTGCTCACAAATAACTCACCATTAGGAATAAAGGGCACCTGGTTTCCAATCCAAGTTTTGTCATATACGTGGATTAAGTCATTTGCTGCCCCTCTGTCCATCCGAAAGGAGTAAAACTCCTAACAAAATTACAATGGGGACAAAGTGAGGTAGTTGCCCACAGCGACTCCCAAACTTTGCTGTGCAGTGGAATCGCTTCGGAATCTTTAGAGACTAGCAGTGCTTGCCTCTTCCACAAATGATGATTAATTGTCATGGGGCCTGACCTGAACATTGCATGTTTTCAAAACTCCTGCTGGGTTTAATGATGAAAAGCCAGGCCTGCTGAGTGTGGATCCTGGCTTCAGTGCTTACTGCTAATCAACAGGATCTGTGCAAGTGACTGGACCCAGTTTCCTCATCTCTAAAGTGGGAATTATAGCAAGGATGGCTGAGAGGCTTAAATGAGATGATAGGTGAAAGCAGAGAAGTACACCTAGCACACAGGACTCCATTAGTCATAGCTGCTGTTAAAGTATTATTTTATGCACTTTGTGAGTGGGTTCAGCTGGGAGGGAGGCTTTTCTTACTGTGAAATTCCCTCAGTTATTGCCATGATTCTGATATTCCATGCTGCTAGCATTTCAGAATCCCCTTTTCTAATATTTGAGTTTTAGGAGTTCCTCACTCCAGCACCTACCTGCTTCATAGACACACTTCTACCTGCCTTGGGACACAGTTTCATAGAAATTGAGGCTGGCCTGGAAGGTCAAGGACAAGGGACTTGACAAAGGATTTGGAGTTGAGATTGGAATCCAGGCTCCTGATCCCTACCCCCCACTCCTGCCCCGCCACATCATAGCTGGTGGTAGCCCTGATGACCCCACGAGGACAGAGGACAGAGCTTTCATTCTCTGGCTGGAGTAGAGAATGGGGAGGAGATGGAGGCTGCCTGGCTCTTGTTTGTTTACTGCTTTAAAAGTTCCCTGGGTGGTTCCCCAGGGAGAACTGGGGGTTCTTCAGGGAGTCTGGATCTGATGAGGACTGTGTGCCTGGGTTCCTCTGACAGGTCCCGCCTGACTCCATCCTGGAAAGTCCCTTTGAAGAAATGGCCCTGGTGAGGGGCGGCTGGCTGTGGAGACAGAGTGAGTGATCCTGAGCCAGACCCTCTCTATCCCTCTTCTGGTTCCCGGGCAGGGGTGAGGGAAGCAGTGTTAGGCCAGCAACAGGAAAATCAGTTCTCCTCTCCTCCCTTGTCCATGCTCTTCTCCCTGCCCAGTGTCCCCCTATTCCTGACTGCCTGGCAGACTTCTAATTAATCATCAACATCCAGCCAGGTGTCCCTTTCTTTGATGAGCCTTCTCTGACTTTTCCTCTAACCCTCACTCTTGCCACTGCATCAGCCTGGCTCAGAGGCCCCCTTCCCTGTTCCTGCAGTGAGTTTTAATGTAACCGTCTTTACTTATGGGTCTCCCAGTCCTCCACCCCATACTGGCCCTAGAGTGTGAGCTCCTCAGGACACAGACTGAGTTTAACCCTCTGTGTATCCTCAGCAGCCCAATCCAAGGCTGGAACACAAACAAGTCCCAGAACAAAAGGAAAATATCTCTGCTTTGAAATCCACAAAGCTCTGAGAAGCCGTCTTATGTCTGCTTTTTCCTCTTACGATTCCAGTTGCAAAATGTCTGAAGCTCTAGTGGTTTCAGGCTTTCAGACCTGTCTCTGACCGGATTTTTGATCTGAACAAGAGCTATCCTGGGAACCCCTGGGACCAAGACCCCCATACCCCATGCCCCCTGCCCATTCAATTTGGCAAACACTAAACACAGGTTCTGCTAGTTCTATGATCTGTGTGGGTAGCTGTGGCCTCCCAAGTCTGGTAGAAGAGGCAGACATGACACAAATGACTATCATACAAGCTAAGATAGGAGATAAGAGAGAGGCTTAGGGTAAGGAGATATTGGTAAGGTATGGGCCAGTGAGAGAAAGTAGTTGACCAAGACAGAAAGGGACCCTGTGCCCATTTTAGAGGTGGATATACAAGAAAGGGGTTAAGAGGTTAACATACTGAGGGCTAGGACTGAGGGGATTCTGGGAGCCCATCTGGGGCTCCTGCCCCCAGCAGGCTCTGGGATTAGTTCGCTGGGCGGGTCTGGAATATCACGCAGGCTCCATCCTCCGCCGCTGGAAGCGAAACTGGTTTGCACTATGGCTGGATGGGACGCTGGGCTACTACCATGATGAGACAGCGCAGGACGAGGAAGACCGTGTGCTCATCCAGTTCAATGTCCGTGACATAAAGATCGGCCAAGAGTGTCATGGTGAGCAGAAGCCCTTCCTCTATGGCATTGTGTCCAGGGGAGAGTCCTTCCACTGTTTCTGAGAACACCAGCAATTGGAAGCCTCTTTGCAGCTTTCAGAAGGCTCCCACTGACACTGCTTCTGGGCCTTTGTCAACCCCACTTCAGTTAGAGGTGAAGTAAGAAATTACTACTTTGTCAAGTTCCTACTCTGTGCCAGTTGCAGAGACAAGTCAGACATGAACTAGATGAAATAAGGAGACTCAGAGAAGTTAAGTGACTGGCTAAGAGTCACACTAATTTGGCTAATCTCTAAATTCTTCAACCAAGGTTTAGGCCACAATTATAACAGAGAAAACTGGAAGATGTTCATAAGGAAACTGGTAATGTGGGTTGGCTGAAAGGGTACAGCAGAATCCTCAGAAAGTGTGGGGATCAGAGGAGGGTAGAAAAGACCAATCAGTTCCTGTTCTTGTTCCTAGTTTCTGGGGGGATCTGGGACCTATACCTGTGGAAAGTCCACCAGTGTATGTCTGCTTCCAGATATACAGCCCCCAGAGGGCCGGAGCCGAGATGGCCTGCTGACCGTGAACCTGCGGGAGGGCTCCCGCCTGCACCTGTGCGCAGAGACTAGGGATGATGCTGTGTGAGTAGCTCTTGGGAGAGGATGCGATAGAATCTTAGGGAATGAAACCAGACACCCCCTTCTTCTTGGGCCTTCCAGTTCCCCAACAGTAGGAAGAGGGTCTGAGACCAGTAAGGTGGTGTCATGGAGGCTGGGCAGCAGGGAGACAGATGATGATGGTTGGTATGGTAAGCAGTGGGCTCTTCACATGATCTATGAGCTCAAAGTGTGGAGGCAGAGGTGTGCACACCTGCCTCAGGTGCATGTTCCCCGGGCATTCAGAATGTATTTAGCAGCTTCTGAGGGGAGTCTTCAGTTGGGGGGATATAAAAGAGCAAACAAAGCCAATGGCATCTGAAAAAGGACCCTGCCTCCTACTCCTTTCTGAGCAAATGCCCTGACATGGGGACTGAGATCTGAAGGATAGACCCAAACCTGCCTGTGTGCCAGGCAAGGGAACCCCAATGTCAGATGCATATCCACACTAAGCCTGGAGGTGTCCTTGGGTACCATCTGTTATCTCACATTCCTTGCCTTCCTCCCCTCCGGCTGAGGGGGTTAGCCTTTGCACTGGGGGGAGAGTAAAGAGATGGGTGTGTGGGAGTGGGGGAAGCTGAGCTCCAGGCACACAGCATAGAGCCGCCTTGTCCACCCCAGCCAGGTGCCATGGCAACCAACAAAGGCCCAATTGTCTGGTGTCCACTGGGCATTCCCAAGGGTCAGAGCTCTGGAGAGCTGTGTTTGTAGGATTGCTATGTGGAGGTGGGCTGCAGCTAGAGCACCCGCCCAGGCATGTCAGAATCGTAAGTCCCTTAAGAGACCCCCCTAAGCCCAATTGTCCACTGTATCTATGGAAAAACTGGAACTTCTAGAGGGGAGGGGACTGTGTTCTAAGAATGAATTAGCCTAACTAAGGGTCCATCCATGTGACAGGGGCAGGGGAGGATCACTCTTGTCTACCTAAAGGAGCCAAGTGGATCTGACTCCTTTTCATGAGACTGGGGTTAGAGAGGAAAAGTCTAGAATGTGAAGGTCTGAACCCCCTTCTTTCAAACTATCACCTCATGGTCTTGGGGATTTGCTTTGCAGAGCATGGAAGACGGCATTGCTGGAGGCGAACTCCACTCCGGTGAGCCCCATTTTCTCTCCCTTCTTCCCAGCCCCAAGTGCCATAGAATCATGGGTGATTCAGACTCGGTCTCTGCCTGTCAGCAGTTCTCAATCTAGTGCTCCTATGCCTGGGCAAACTCAGATTCCCTGAGTCCCACATTGAAAAAGAGGAAGGACAGCCAGCTGGTAACTCAGAGGAGAGAGGTAGAGAAGCCTCCATGAAGACCAAGGGTGCTCTTAAAAAAAAAAAAAAGAAGAAGAAGCCTCCATGAAGAGGGGGAGGAGGGGGTGGCATGTGAGCTAGGGGAAAGGAACTTTTATCGAGCAACTATTATGTTCCAGGTGTGATGTAGGGGTCTAATTCCAAATACAATAGTCCTGTGAGGTCAACCTTGCTACCTGGGATTATTGTTTCTCAGATATAGACTGAGTTTCATTCATTCTGTACAATAAATATTCACTGAGTTTCTACTATGTTCTAGGTACTGTGACAAGTGCCAGGGATCAGAAATGAACTGAGGGGATGTGGGCCCTGTCCTCCTGGACTCAGCCTAGTGAGGAGTCAGATGTGAAACAACTGATTAGTTAGTTAATGATTCCATTGCAATATTGGTAACTGCTCTGATCCAGGTGGGAATTCAGATAAGGCTTAAGCTGAGACCCGAAGGATAAACAGAAATTGACCAGGTAAACAGTGTGGGGATGTAGTGAAGGGAACAGCTTTCCGGGTAGATGAATTAGACGGTTGATCCATCCATGGTAGATGGCTGTGCAAAGGCTTGAGAGGGGTTAAGATTGTGGCAGGTAGAGCAACAGAAGGAAAAATGGCTGAGGTGACTGGAGCTCAGGAGGGGGGCAGTTAAAAAGGATAGTTGGCAGGACCAGGCTTTGTGGGCAGTGTTAAGGATGCTGGTTTCTGCTAAGAGCATCAGGAAGCCATCGAAAATTTGTAAACAAAGGGATGGCATGATTAGATCAGAATTACATATCCAGCCCATTTTATTTTTTGAGACAGGGTCTCACTAAGTTGCTGAGGTTGGCCTTGAACTTGTGATCTTCTTGCCCTAGCCTCCTGAGTGGTTGGGATTACAGGTGTACACTATCATGCCTGGCCAGACTTGGATTTTTTTTTTTTAAAATTACTGGGAATTTAACCAAGGGGCAATTTACCACTGAGCCACATCCCCAAGCTTTTTTTTTTTTTTATTCTTTTTTTTTTTTTTGTACCAGGGATTGAACTCAGGAGCCCTTGACTACTAAGCCACATCCTTAGCCCTATTTTGTATTTTATTTTAGAAACAGGGTCTCACTGAGTTGCTTAGCACCTTGTTTTTTTTTTTTTCTTTTTTGTAGATGGATAGCATGCCTTTATTTTATTTATTTATTTTTATGCAGTGCTAAGGATCAAAACCAGTGCCTCACACATGCAAAGCAAGTGCTCTGCCACTGAGCTACAGCCCCAGCCTAGCACCTCGATTTTGCTGAGGCTGACTTTGAACTCGAGAGTCTCCTGCCTCACCCTCCTGAGCTGCTGGGATTACAGGTGTGTGCACCACACCTGGCTCCCTTTTTTTTATTCTCAAAGAATAAAATTGCTGGGGCTGGGGTTTTGGCTCAGTGGTAGAGCGCTTGCTAGCACTTGAGAGGCACTGGGTTCAATCCTCAGCATTACATAAAAATAAATGAAATAAAGGTATTGTGACCATCTACAACTAAAAAATATGTATATATCAAAGAAGAAGAAGAAGAAGAAGGAGGAGGAGGAGGAGGAGGAGGAGGAGGAGGAGAAGGAGGAGGAGGGGGGAGAGGAGGAGGAGGAGGAGGAAGAAGAGGAAGAGGAAGAAGGAGAAGGAGAAGAAGAAGAAGAACATTGCTGAATTGCTTAGGGCCTTGCTAAATTGACTCCTAAACTGCTGGGATTACAGGCATGCACCAAGGCACCTGGACAGATTTGGATTTTTAATGAGAGTCTGGCTGGTAGTTAGGGAATGAATTGTAGTGTGGGTGCCTAGGGACCAGCTTGGAGGCCAGGACAGTGTTCAGGCAACAGTTCTGGATGGAGGCCTCGCTGGCAGAGACAAGCTGATGATTACAGGACATATTTAGGAAATGCAGTCAAAAGAGCTTAGTGACTGATGGAGACGTGAGTTTAAAGAGCTGCCAAGGCCCAGCATGACCTCTATTCCTGCCTGTCAGATTCCAGAATCTATGCTTGCTCCTTCTGTTTGTGGCATAATGGAGCCTGCTGTCATCTAGAGAGAAAGTCTACTGAGAAAGAGCAAAGGAGCCTGGGATGCATGTAGAAACCCCCTCGGGGGCCAGGCATTGTGCTGAGCACCCAGTTATGCCAATTCATCCTCCCACAGCCCTGGAAGAGGGGTGGGGAGAGCCTGGGTATTGATATCATCAGTTGCATTTTACATATAGGGAAGCTGAGGTCCAGAGACAAAAAAGTCTATGTCCAAAGTCTAGGTCTTAATTCAGTGACGAGCCTGTGTTTTGAGAGGAGGCATCTGCAGAAGGAGCTGCCAGAGTAGAGGCAGGGATGTGTGCGAGTGTGTGCACAGGCATGTGGCAGAGGGCCCAGAGTGTGGCCTGTTGGGTGGCCTAGCATGGAGGGAATGACATGGGAGAGAGATTACCTCTGAGGCCCCATCACAAAGGACCTCAAACTGGACTTTTCTTGAGGGTTGTGGGAACAATAAGGGACATTATGTAGAGAGGGCTGTTAGACTTTGGGGGACAGACTCAGGCTTCCAGGATTGGAGGAAGCCAGGAGTGAGGAGGCTGGAACAGTGGTCCGCAGGGAGGAGGAACCCAGGTCGGGCTCACAGGACTCTGAGCTCCAAAGCCCTCGAGTAGGGCTACTCAGTTCCATGGAAGGTGAGGATTGACCGTTCTGCACTCTGACTCTATGAAGCTGCCTTGGCCCTTCTCTATCTGTCCACCCTTCTGCTGCTCTGCTGACCACTTCTCTGTGCCCCACCCTTGATCCTACTTCATTCTGCTCCACACACACACATCTCTGGGCCCTGGCTTAGAGTAGGTGTGTGTGTGTGTCAATGATTTTGTACCTGTGTCTGCTTTGTTTGTGTGCATTCATGTCTGTGGGCTTTTTCTGTCCTTGTGCTTATGCAGGTGTGACCTCCATATGCTACAGGTTCATGCCCCACTCTGGAGGAAGACTCCAGGAGGAGTCCCTGACCTGGATGTACCAGGGAACACAGAACCTGGGGACAGAAATAGCCAGGGGCCAGGCGGGGGTGGTGGTGGTGAAGGGGGCCAGGTAGATGAGAGCTGAGGATACTTGAGAGCTGAGCTGCCCTCTCCTGCCTGGAGACTGGGAGTCCCAGCTGCATTCGAGAGGTGAAGGTGGGCTAGAAAGAGTCGGCAGTCACCATCCCTCTCTGTGTCTCTCCTCCTTACCTTGGGCTGAAAAGGAAGAGGACACCCCCTTGCCCCAGCCCAGTTGGCAGAGAGCACTGGTAGGGCCTGCTAAGAGCTCAGTCTCTCCAGGCATAGAGGGCCTCTGACACCTATGTCCCTCCCCCTTCTTGGGTTTCTGTGGCTTGAGCAGGCCCCAGCTGGAGCCCCCGTCCCACTCAGGAGCCGCCGGGTTTGCCCCAAGGTCAGGTGTGTGACCCGATCGTGGAATCCCTGTAAGGTTGAGAGGCGAATCTGGGTAAGTGCTGGCTAGCCCTCCCTGCCTCCACTCTGGACACCAGGATGAGCCTCTCCAAAACAGTCCCAGTCACCACTCTTCCCTCTCACACACACTCACTGGATACCCACCACGGCCTGGTTTTTAAGGCCTGTAGAATGTAGCTAGTCTCACCTGCTACCTCCCCTCATCCCTGTGCTCTGCTGTGCCCTCTGCCCCAGCCACTCCTGCTTTCTCCTTTTCCCGCACCACAAATGCCATTCTCTCTGCCACCAAGACGCCTAGTTTTCTCATTCACCTACAAACTGGTGCTCATCCTTAAAGGCCCACCTCAGATGCTGCCACCTCCTCAGTGAGATGTGCTCAGTGATGTGGACAGTTTATTCTGAACATTCCTAGTACATGAGGGTCTAGCAGAAATAGGTCTCAGAGTATGCTCATGGGACAAGTGAATGAAGGGAGGGAGGAAGGAAGGAAGGAAGGAAGGAAGGAGGAAGGAAGGAAGGAAGGAAGGAAGGGAGGAAGGGAGGAAGGAAGGGAGGAGGGAAGGGCAGGGCCAGGCCTCAGTATGGCATTATTACCACCTATTATAGTTTAGTTCGGGTCTGCCTGTCCTCTCCCTGAATGTTTCTTGGAATCAGGACTTGGGCTTGAACCACTTCTGTCCAGTGCTCAATACAGGTCCAGCCAGGATGGGATAGGTGGCAGTGGGGCTTGAGTAGAGTGTCTGTAGTCTTACAGTTGACTATGAACTCTTCTTACTCAGTGGTGCTCAGTGAGGCTGTGTGTTAGAATTGCTTAGGGACTTAAAACAACAACAGATATTAAAATGTTACCTCTGGATGCTCTAATTTCATAGGTCTGGGGTGGGGCATAGGAAATCTGTAGTATTTATAGATTTAATTTTATTTTTTGCAGTGCTGGGGATCAACCCAGGGCCTTAGGCATGCTAGGCAAGCACTTTACCACTGAATTACATCCCTAGCCTCAGGAGTGAATTTTTTAAACTATAGATTTCTGGGCTAATGTGCTCACCTTGCATGGGTCAATCCACAGCAAAACACAAACATATATCACACAGATTGCTCCTGGGGATCCTGACGTGCATGAATTCTGAGCCTAGAAGAGCTCGGGCCACATGGTTGCCTAATAGATGTGGCTCTGCTGGATTCTCACAGTTCCTTGGGAGTTGGCAGTGTGGGAAAGACTGTTTGCAGATGAGGAAGCTGAAGTTCTGAGGGTTACTTAGTTAGATCAGCATTACTCAATTCATCAATGACATGCCGGGGACTCCTAGCCCCCTTCCCTTTTTTGGGGGGGTTCCAGGTGTTTGAACCCAGGGGCTCATGCATGCTAGGCAAGTACCCTACCACTGAATAACATCTACAGCCCTTTTCATTTTATTTTGAGAAAGGGTCTTGCTGAGTTGCTCAGTCTGGACTCCAACTTGCCATCCTCCTATCTCAGCCTCCTGGGTAGCTGGGATTGCAGGTGTCTACTATTGCACCTGACTCTAGCTTTTCATTCTGAGGTATTCTCCATGCATGGCCTAGGGTATAAGTTTGTTTAAAGTGGCAATGCCTTAAAAAATAGGATTTAAAAGACTGTAAACCTTAGTATAAGTTTATTGGAGAAAAGGAGGTTATTTGTGTGTGGCCCCTGACAGACCAACTCTTCCCTTCCTATGTAAGTGGTGGGGCCTCCAGAAGAGGGGAAGAATCAGAGATTAAGCCTCAGGTTGCCTATTGCCAGGTGATCTACATGAGTTTACTTCTGGGCCTCCCAGGCCTGGAGGGTAGAAACAGGTGCCCCAGAGGGACATGAGGTGGTGTTTTCCACCCTCGTCAGGGCCTCACAAGGCCACTGGCTCACCGCAACTGCAGAGCAAGTGGAAACTTTGGATTTCAGTTTCTCAAACAGTAAAATTGGATCTGAGTGCTTAAGTCCCGCCAGCCTCTTTTGGGCATGAAGCCCAGATCCTGGCTACCTCATCCAGAAAGCCCTTGGGGAGAGAACACAACCAGCAGTTAATTGAGCCTGAGGACCTACACATGCTTGTCTGAGCCCCCTGCATTGCCCAGGCACCATTTGTTCTCCCTAGCTTAAACCTCAACTCAGTTTCAGAGTTGGGTGACCTTAGTTCCCATCTGTATTTTTTTTTGAATATTTATTTTCTTTTTAGTTGTAGATGGACACAAACCTTTATTTCACTTATGTATTTTTATGTGGTGCTGAGGATCGAACCCAGGGTCTTACACATGAGAGGCGAGCGCTCTACCACTGAGCCACAACCTCAGCCCCTCCCATCTGTATTTGATTCACTTGTGCTAAGGTCATTAAACATTTATTAGGCACTTACCATATTACTGATTGGAACCTGAGGGGTCTCCAAGTCTTGTGAGAGAGACCAACACAAGGATACAAACAAGGCTTTATCATTGATCAGCTGAGAGAGAGGGAAGTCCAAGAGCTACGTGGGTGTCTAGATGAGACCACAACAGAAACTGAAGTTCAAGGAGAACAATACCTGAGTTGAATCTGAAACGCAAATTAGGTAGTTGAATGAGAAAAGGTGAGAAGTCATCCTTATTAGAGGGAAATGGCATGGAGACTTGAAATCAGTGTGCTAATGGCTTATTCTCTTGACATTGGCCAAGAGGATGGATAGAAGAGCATATTTAGAAGATCAAATCATGAGACCTAGTGGCTGACGTGACAAGCAAGACAAGTGTGTGAAGACAAGGGTGCCAACCTAAATTCTTTGTTTGTGTGTGTTTTGATGGCATTCTTAGAGAAAGACATTTGTTGGGAGAGGAACAGGTGTGTTGCATGGTGAAATGCTGCAGTCACTCCAAGTTAATGGAGTTTGAGACACTTTGACTTCTAAAAGGGAGTAGGACCATTCAGGTGTGAAGCCCCATGAGATAGAAGTATAGGATGAAAGGGGTTTAAGAGGAATGATCCAGGAGAGAAGGGGAGAAGGAGACCCTACCCCTTCCTCAGTTCTGCTCCCTCTTGGACTGGGCACTTCCATTTAACCCAGCATTTATTTTTTGGTTCCTGACACATGCTAGACCCTGCTGGTCTAGCAAAATTAATGAGTTCTTGCTCACAGGTAGCTCACATTTGGAGTGCAGGTAGAAAAGGCCAAGAGAAATGATAATGAGAGGCACAAGCAAGGTCCACAGTGAATTCAGGAAGAAAGGCTTCTTTTTGAGACTAGGAGGGGTTTCTGAAGTGGGTGGCTTTTGAGCTAGGTTTTGAAGGGTTGGGAAGAATCTGGGGGATGGGGGCGGGTAATGAGTACATTCTGCAGAGAAAACTGGTCATTCTCTGAACCTGGGTTCCCAGGTCTGTGTGGTAAAGAGATAATAATACTCATCTTAAGGATTAGAGGTGGTAGCACAGGTGAATACCTCTCCCAGGGCCTGGTACACAGTAGATGCTCGATAACAGTTACTTTGGTTACCTCTCATTCCTACCCTTCCTTTTCCTCTTTTTCTCCCTAACCCCTCTTTATTTTCAGCCCGGGACTTGGCCATATTCCCACCCTATGACTAGGGGAGAAATCAATTGGGTTTTAAGTGAGACCATTATACACTTATTAATTAGCAAAGTCTACCTTTGCTACCTGTGAAGGGAAGTTGGGAGTCAGAGAAAATTTTCTCTAGCAAGGTAGGAGACCAGAGTGAGAAAAGGCATCATCACTGGGAGCTGAATCTAAGGGCTGAATTTTTAGAATACAAAAGACTATGGAGGCCCTGCGCGGTGACGCACGCCTGTAATCCCAGTAGTTTGGGAGGCTGAGGCAGGAGGATCACGAGTTCAAAGCCAACCTCAGCAAAGGCGAGGGGTTAAGCAACTCAGGGAGACCCTGTCTCTAAATAAAATACAGAAGAGGGGTGGGGGTGTGGCTGTGATCGAGTGTCCTTGAGTTCAATCCCCAGTAACAAACCAACCAGCAAACAAAAAAGACCATGGACTTTGTGGAGAAGTGGGACCTTTCCAGGAGTTCGCTGCTGCCTGGGGGCCCATTTCTAAACTTAGGGAGCAGGGGGACTGGGGACCAAATCCAGACCAGGGAGTTCCTGGGCAGTTGACCGGGTTGGACTCTCTAGGTGCGCGTCTACAGCCCGTACCAGGACTACTACGAGGTGGTGCCCCCCAACGCGCATGAGGCCACGTATGTCCGCAGCTACTACGGGCCGCCCTACGCAGGTAAGCTTTCCCTCACCCTTTAAGCCCAGCCCCTTCACGGTCCCCCTAACCGCAGCCTGACTCTCAGTCCAATGCCAGGTCCTGTCCACGAGTCATTGGCAGTCAGGACCAGCCTCACCCTTTTAGTGTTTACCTATTTTCTCAGGCAGGAACTCCGCAAACTCCTAGCAGCTTGAGAGCTAAAAATAGTGCTCCATGCTCCAGAGAAGCCTCCAGGCTCGCACTTACTCAGTTTGGTTTCCCAGCAATCTTTCCTGAGCTCGTAGCGACGCCTGGTGGCTAACTTGGGAACCGCAGTCGCCCATAGGTGCAGTGTGGTGTGTTTAGAGGTCCGCCCCGCCCAGGCCCCAAAGTTACCGAACGTCCGTGGCAGACCCGGGAGGGAAGGGGTAGTGTGGATCCCTTACCTCGTCAAGGCCTCAGTTTCTCCGACTGGGGAGTATGGATTCAGTGCCTTAATATTGGGTTGGGCTGGAGTCACGCAGAAAGGGAATGAAGATGACTGGTTTCTCCTAAGTCGCTGATACTCACGGCTGTCTCCGCAGGCCCCGGCGTGACGCACGTAATAGTGCGGGAGGATCCCTGCTACAGTGCTGGCGCCCCGCTGGCCATGGGCATGCTTGCCGGAGCCGCCACCGGCGCTGCACTGGGCTCACTTATGTGGTCGCCCTGCTGGTTCTGAGTCATGGGACTGGATCGCTGGACCCTGCGCTTAGACCGCTAAACCCCTTTTCCTCCTGGACCCCACCCTCCACCCTCCAAGCCAAATGAGCCCTTTCCTCTCCTTTAGCCCTTTTTGGGCTTGGACCATCCCTCCCACTCCTTACCCTCACCCCATGCCCACCCATCGGAAGAAGTTAACATCTTCAGCACAAACGTGGTTCTACTGCTAGACATCCCAGAAATCCCTTATAGACACCTATATTTCATCTAACCACACGAAGACAGTAAATATAACTTTCATTTGGCTTCAAGTTCTTCAGGTGCTGGAAAGAGAACGCGTGTTGCACGCTCTGCTGTCTTTAGGGGCAGCTCCAGGCCTAGTGGGAAAACAGGAGTAAACAAACACTTTGTGCTAAAACTGCAGTTGTGTCTTTTGACAAGTGTAGGGGCAGGGAGCAAAGCGGGTGGATTGGGAGTGCTGTTGTTGACTAGTTTAGAGCCCTGAATGTCATAGCATGTCCGAAGGGGAGATCAGTTGGGCTGGATCAGATCATGATGGGCCTCCAGGCTGTTGCTAGGTAAATGGGAGATGTGACCTTTTTATGGAGTGAAGTTTCAGGATTGCACCTATGATGAATATTTTGCCTGTATTGTTAGTCCTGACATATCCTTACCCCAAATACTCTTGAGTTCAGCTCCATCCTTCCTAGTACCATCTTCCTGGGTTCCCTGTTCCCCATGACAACAATTGAACTGAACCTGGGGGCTCCCGGTTGGGGACCAGGTGAGCTCTGTTTGGGAGCTCCAGCCTTAGAAAGTTGCCTCCATTAGGAAATGCCTTTCTGATCCCAGGAGCTCTGTCCATTGCTGTGATTGTCCCCATCTCAGGCTTTGTCTGATCTTTCATTCTGGGGAGATAGCAGTGTTTCCCTCTGGGACTGACACACCTTTATACCATTCTGGGAAGCTCCCCATGTGCCTGCCTGAAGGTGGCCCAGCAGTCTGCCCATTTGGTCCCTTCCAGTCTCTTCCTCCACCCAATCCCAATTGCCAGTAGAAATGCTAGCTAGCATCCATGCCCAGTAGCCAAAGTAGCTCACTAATGTCCCCTGTAGACAGGGGCTCCATTGGCTCAGCTGCAGAGACTAATAAAGATGTGGTTGGCTCTAGAACTGGCTCTGGCTTGTTTTGCTTTGTTCTCCCAGGAGGCCCGGTTTCCCTGGGACATCTCTGTGGCCCAGCATCTACCAGTGCCTTCTCTTAATAAATGAGAAGAGTTTGGATTCTGGGGTCAGGTGGAACTGGCGACATTATCTTAGCTAAACAATTTGGGGCAAGTCACTTGACCTTTCTGAACATTGCTTCCCCTACCCACAAGTGGTAGGTTGAAGTTGGCCATCCCCGAGGGCTCAAGAGGAGGGGCTGCGCCAGGGTCTCTGTTATCTGAGCTGATGCATGATCCACAGCAGGCCCTGCGTGCTAGTCTGAGAGACCTGTGCTGTTTTGTCTTTTCCAGTGGGAACCTTCCTTCTAGAGTTGAATCTTTTTTTTTTTTTCTTCCTGATACTAGGGACTGAACCCAGAGCTACATCCCCAGCCCTTTATTTTTTCAGACAGGGTCTCACTAAGTTACCCAGACTGGCCTCAAACTTGTCATCTCCTGTCTCAGTCTCCCAAGTAGCTGGGATTACAAGCATGTGTCATCATGCCTTGCTAATGAATTGTTTTTTATAGAAATGAGTTGACCAGGCAAGAAAACAACCATCATATATCAGGCTTCTTAAAGTGGAAGTGACAGAAACCTCCTGTTCAAACTGATTCAAGTCAAAGAAGGAAAAACATGGGGACACAACAGAGAAGTCAAATACCAGGGGCTCAAATAGTGTCACTTCAACTTTGCATTGTTTCTATTTTTACATCCACTGGGCTGGCTCATTTGAAGGCTGCAGTAGTCTGGAGTCCAGCAGCTCCTGACTTTGATGTTCCTGGGTTCAAAACCAGTCAAAAGAATTTGTATTCTTTTTTGGGTGAGGTGGGGGGCACCACCACTGAGCTACATTCTCAGCCCATTTTATTTTTTGACACAAGTTCTCATTAAATTGCTGAGGCTGCCTTGAACTTGATGTCCTCCTGTCTCATCCTCTTAAGCTGGGTTACAGGCCTGTGCTATCACACCTGGCCAACAGTTTCTCTTCTAACAGTATGAAGAAAGTCCTGAGTGTGACAGACATATCAGTCCAGATTTGGTCCTATAGCCACCCCTGAATCAATCATAGTGGTCTGAAAAATGGTAGTCTAAAACAATAAGGGATAGTTAGGCCCAGAAATAGGTACTCAGGAGGCTGAGGGAGGAGGATCTCAAGTTCAAGGCCATCCTGGACAAATTGGTAAGACCCTGTCTCAAAATAAAAAGGGCTGGGGATGTAGCTCAGTGATAGAGTACTTGTTGAGGATGTGCGAGGTTCTAGGTTTAATTTGAAGTACTAAACAAACAAACAAACAAAATAAACACCCCATCCCCTCAACAACAACAAATCAAAAAACCAGGGCTTACACAGGGATGGGACAGTGTCCTGAAAGAAATTTAGGACACTGCCAAAAGTAGGATCAGGAGAGCTGGCTGACAAAAATAGGTATCCATCTCAGTCATATTTCCTGAGAACCAACTTAGAGGGGAGACATATAAACAGTAATGATTCACTGTGGCAAGAGAGGAACAAGGTGCTATGGAAACTCTGAAGAAGAGGTACTGGAGTCTGCCAGGGAACTTCAGAAAACTTTGGGGTGGGAAGTGGAACTTCAGTTGGAACCTGGAAGGAGGAGTAGGAGTTTGGCCATCTGAGCAGAAAGAGTCTTTATACAGAAAAAGAAGTATCAGCATGAGCAAAGGCCTTTACTGAGTGTAAGAATCAGTCTCTTGTCACAGCAGGTTGCATGATGAGAAGGATTGGTGGGTGGGGCCAGGTTACAGAGAACCCTATGGGCAAGCTCACCAGCATAGGGCATAGTCCAGGAAGTTGTATGAGTACAGGCAAAGGCATAAATGCAAGCACTTCTTCAGAGGCCCAAGGTAGACCTGCACTGTGTTCTGGGGCTCCAGCAGTGTATCAGACTCAACTCATGCTGTAGAACCTCAGCCTTAATTTTCTAACAGATGCCCATTGCCCTCTCAAGTCTTTCAGTAGCATCTCCACTAAGCCATCTCACTAGAGGGTATGTTGCATGCCCCTGCAGGGACATCTCTGAGGCTGACCCTTTCCTCTCTGTACCTTCTCTCTGGGATTCAGTCTCAGGGCTTTTTAGGAATCAGTATGTAGGAAATGCCTAAGCAATCCAGATTCTTTCCCATAAATGTGTCAGGGAGCTGCAGGGCAGGGCACTTGAGTTTGTTATTTAGAGCTGGTACCACTCAAATTCACTGCCCAGAGCTTCCCATTCTTTATCTCCTAGGTCTTCACAGTATCTCCATGGGCCACTTGTTAATATCTGTTTTACCTACAAAGGAACAGATGCAGTAGGGGAAAGTAAATTGCCCAAAGTCATGCATGCTGTGTCAGAATCTGGATTTAAATGCAGGTCACTTGACCTTATCCCACCACACTACATTGTTTTTGCACTACAAAGTCTCTGAGGAGACCAGGGCCACTACCAAACATCTTTTCCTTTAGCAAATCGCTAGAAGCTGAGAACTAGAAGATGAATGAGACTTAAGCCTTACACTCAAGGAACTATGTCTGTGTCAGACATGAGCTGTGGCTATGAAACAAGGTATCATTGGGGCTGTGGCAAATGGTAGCCCTTAGGTTGTAGGACACAAAGAGGTAGAAGGTTGAGGAAGTAATTGTCTTAAATTGGATTAAATGAAAAATGCTTTCCCAACTATGGTCTGATGAGAGTTAGAAGAGGAAACACACCAAAGCAACACTCAATCAGTCAATGCTGGGATTTCACTGGATGCAGCCACATGTGCAGTGTGATTTGACTGTAGAGGGAACTAAGGGTAGAGAAAGAGGTCAGCAGATCAGACTATCAGGGGTCTTCAATGCTGGGGAAGGAGCTTGAACTAGACTCCCAGGATCACAGAGAACCTCAAAATATGTGAGGCAAGGGAAGAATATGGTCACAATCGAAAGATAGAAAGATTACATAGAGAAAAACATTAATCCCCATAGACAACAATCTAAACTCAGATAAAACAATCTATACAAACTGGACAGCCCAAGAGCTGCCTGGTTGTTCAGGTCATGATGTTCACTGGGGTAGCTCAACTAGCCCCCTCCTTGAGAGGATTTTGTAGACAGGGTTGTTCACTCTGAGCATCTGGACACTTGAGCACTTCTCCAGAACCAAGTATATGGCTCCATGTCAGAACTACTGAGAACACTTGCTGGAAAGGACACTAAATGCCTCTTTGGCTTGCTAGGACTGTTCTACTGCTTTATGCTGCCCATAGGAACCTTTCTTTCCCTTTCCCTTATGGGGTAGTACAGATGTCCTTCCTCAGCTGAACCTGAAACCTGCCTCCAGAGAACTGCTAAGAGTTGGGTTTTAGCTTCATTTCTGGGCCTCAGACCAAAATGATTCCCAGCCCTAGAACTTTTTTTTTGATTGTTGATGGACCTTTATTGTATTTATTTATATTTATTTATTGTATTTATATTTATGCGGTGCTGAGAATCAAACCCAGTGCCTCACAAATGCTAGGCAAATGCTCTACCCCTGAGCCACAACCCCAGCTATGCCAGACCTAGAATTTATCCACTGGCCAGTTGTTTTTCCCCCAACACCTTAGTCTGCTTGGATTTACTCGTCATCACTTGTCAAGATTTCTTTAAGTAATGTCTATTCTCTCCACCTGGGTACCAGAGGGGATCAGTGTGGACTAGCTTTCCCTTGCTGCTCTAGCTTTTCATTGTCCATGTCATTGCCAACCCCATCATGAAGACATGCTTCCACCAGAGTTTACTGAACTTGTTGGGTAACCAAAGGGAAAACAAGAAAATGAAAAAGTAAAAACTATATTACAGTTTATCTCCTCCATAAGGAGATAGGTTTTTGATCTACCTGCAGAGTCCCTATCTCCTCACCTTATTCCCTTATCCTCTCTTCTGGCTTTTCCCAAAAATATCTCTACACTTTGGCTACAGTGTTTTCCACTCACTCCCCCTAACAGAACAGTAAAAGTGCAAAAAAGAAGTAGGGCACAGTGGTGGCGCATTCTTGTAATCACAGAGGGCTGGTAGGCCGAGGCAAGAGGATTGTTATTTCAAAGCCAGCTGCAGAAACTTAGTAAGGTCCTAAGCAACTTAGCGAGACCCTGTCTCAAAACAGAATATAAAAAGGGCTGGGGGGTGGCTGGGGTTGTGGCTCAGGGGTAGAGCGCTCGCCTTGAATATGCAAGGCCCTGGGTTCGATCCTCAGCACCACATAAATGTAAAATAAAGATATTGTGTCCATGGGCTGGGATGTGGCTCAAGCGGTAGCGCGCTTGCCTGGCATGCGTGCAGCCCGGGTTCGATCCTCAGCACCACATACAAAGATGTTGTGTCCGCCGATAACTAAAAAATAAATATTAAAAAAAAAAAAGATATTGTGTCCACCTAAAACAGAAAAATAAATATAAAAAAAAAGGGTTGGGGGGCTGGGGCTGTAGCTCAGTGGCAGAGTGCTTGCCTAGCATGTTTGAGGCACTAGGTTCTATCCTTAGCACTGCATAAAAAACTAAACAAATAAAAGCATGCTGTCCATCTACAACTATTAAAAAAATAATTTAAAAAGGGGGGGCTGGGGATGTGTATAAGGCCCCTGGGTTCAATCCCCCTAAAAGTGCAAAAAGACATCACACATACAGTTTATTTCTAAACCTATTCATTAATAGAACTGCAATATGAATGTTTAATTCTTCCAGCTGTCTAGTACATGATTTTCAAATTAATCACACAGAAAAAGGCATACATTAATCCTTGAAGATAACACAATATAATCTGGAGGTGACCTATGGACCACTTCTGGCTTACATACATTTTATATGGTCATCAAAATAATTTTTTTTTAAAGTTCTGAATTAAGCCAGGAACACTGGAACATGCCTGTAACACAAACAACTTGGAAGGCTGAGATAGGAGGATCAAAAATTCGAGGACAGCCTCAGCAATTTAGTGAGACCCTG